AAAAGGAACTGTTCTTAATCGTCAAATTTACAAACACAATTGAGAAATTTGAATCTGTAGCACGGAACTTTAAGCATATCTTAAGAAAATAAAAGAGATAAGCATACCTTAAGAAAAGAAAAATCAAAGAAAAAAGGAGAGAAAAAACGAAATATACCTTAAGAAGAGAAAAGGAATAATGTAAAATAAATAAATAAATAAAAAAACTAAGCAAATCTTAAGAAATAAAAAAAAACATTGAGAAAAGAAAATACATTATGAAAAGAAAAAATAAAAATAAGCATGCCTCAAGATAAAAAAATAGATATATATACATATATATATATATATATATATATATATATATATATATATATATATATATATAACTTGAAACATACCTTAAGAAAAAGAAAGAAAAAAAGCCACTAATTAGCAATACTTTCCTGGAATTTCTAAATTCTAAACTGGACTTTACCCAAATATAAGTTTAGCCTAATTTTATTCCTGTCTGCGCATATGGTAAATTCCGACGATTTGGTATTGGAAGTAAGGGAAACCTAATATGAATACAAAAATATACATCTAACATAACAAGGAAATATCGATACATTTAACCATAAAAAAGAACATAAGCTGTGAAATTATCGTTAAATTAAACTATTCCGAGTAATCATGCTCCTTCAATTCACATTGAGCGCACAAACAGTTCATCGAACCTTCTGGAAACTGCAAAGACGGGAAGAGTCCTCAAGGCCCTTGCTCTTCTTCTAACAGTAAACAAACTCCACACAATTCTTTACGTACGAAGGAATAGCAAATAAATCTCCATTGCACCATGAAGCAGGCACGCTAGAGGTTAAATTTTTAATAAATCGATAACGGCCATAACGAAATATGGGGAGTCCACTTAATTCAAACACGAATGCCGGAGCAACTGTCATGGCGACTTCAGTTTCCCTCAAACTTTTCGCGGATATTTTCGGACTCATTGCGCAGTCTGCTCTGCATCGGAGTCAGAAGAAGAGAGAATGACGAACTTGATTTTCATGGCACGGGATTTGTGATCATTTCCGATATTTCTACGGTAATAGGATGACCGCCAGCAATTTAACTGCTCTCCATCGAACCCAGTGGAAGACATGGTCAAGCGCCGAGCGGCTGCCTAGCCAGGCTCTCAGAACAATTCGAGCACCAATGAAAATATCGGTTTTTCCTTCTTCTCTACATAATCAAATCTTTGGAATATTTTCTTAAACACAATATATTACTCTTCTTCTTCTACAGTGGAATGAAGGCGGAATTTGCTCAAGAAAAAAATACGAATGCGGTTTCCCTGGCGAACTTGTGTAAACCCCGTTAAAAGATTACCACGCAACTCGAAATTCTTTAGTTGAAAATGACGCAAAGCGATTATCAGTTTCAGCGACTTTCATGGCAGAATTTACAATTTCCTATATAGATTCAATTTATATTTGATGTACTGCTAAATAGGCGCAGAGACATTTTTTTTTCTTTTGTATATTTCCATATGCACCACTTCATATCAACCTTGAGGCGAACAAAACGAAAAGATATTTCAACAGGTTCCAGGACTATGCGCATGAAGGACACAATCTGAAAATGTATCAACGTGCTTGGGGTTTCAGAAATACTACAAAAAGGCCTATGATAAAACGTAATATAATAAACACACCATAACGGCCGCAAAGCATCACAGCCGTAATAGGTGGGTCTACATGAGGTATTCGTTAGGCGGCCGTGATCAGAATTTCAAATGAATAATCATCGGTTGCCTGTTCGTATTTTAAAATTGTACTCTAAAAACTTTTTTCTTGTTAAATAGGTTATATGCGTGTATACGTATGTATATATGAATATGTGTATATATAGTTATATAGTTATATATATATATATATAATATATATGTGTAGTATATATATAACATATATCTATATCTATATCTATCTATCTATCTATCTATCTATCTATCTATATATATATATATATATATATATATATATATACATGCATACATGTATATATAAATATACATATTCTGTATTTGTGCATTTGTAAATACATATAAATATACATATTGTGTATATACAAAAATATACATATATATGTATATACACACATTCAAGTCCATATATGCATGTATTGGAGGAACGGAAATGCACACCGCACCCATATAGATCATTCCTGCCTCATCTTTGTATCTAAACCTCTCTCCGTTTTGGTCTCTTACTATGGATATTTCTGTGCTGGATTTTTTCATAGAAACTGCGATTTCTGCATCACACAAGAACAAGGGATATGATATATTAATTTCATGTTCATGATTACAATGATAACGACAAAAACGATGATGATGACTGCAGTTCATCTATATACGGATTTAACTTAATTTTAAGAGGAAATTTTCTCATAATGAAGAAAATTGCATCAGTCTTTTGTCTTTCATCTTGTGAGTGAGGCAGTAAGAAAATCTAGTCATTCCTGTAAGAAATAGACAAATTTTGTGAAACTTCTATGTAATGTACACAAAATCCACAGCTTTCCCATCTCGCAACACATCCAGGATGCGCGGCCGGAGGTGCCCGCCGTTCCCACGCTCCTGCGCCGCCAGCCAGCTAAATAGGGGCGCCAGGCGGCTCAGCGCCCCATCCGACGCCCGTTCCTCCTCAGGCGCACACTTGGTCCAAGAGAGCAGTCATGAAGGCGGTTTGTGTCGTGGCCTTGGTCGCCGCGCTGTGCGTCGCTCCCTTCCGAGCTGAGCAGCCTCCGGCCGGAGTGCTGCGTCCTCTGCCCCGCCCCGGCCATGAGGGCGTGCGCACTCTGCCGGCTCTTCTGCCCGACGACCTGAGGCAGACCAGGCCTTTTGGTCGACCTGACGTTCCGTCCTTCCAGCGACCTCAGATCCAGCCCCGACACCCATCTTTCCTCAAGGAAACGAAACCTCTGCCTCGTCCGGTGGGAATTCAGACTCTGCCAGCAGAACTGCCACAGGATCTCAGGCAGACAAGACCCTTTCCTCGTCCAGCAGGAGTAAACACACTTCCTGCTGAGCTCCCCGAGGATCTTCAAGGCTCAAGGAAGCAGACAAGACCTTTCATCCGCCCCGACGTCCCTTCCTTCCAGCGTCCTCAGATCCAGCCCCGACACCCATCCTTCGACAAGCAGACGAAGCCTCTGCCTCGTCCGGTGGGAGTTCAGACTCTGCCAGAAGAACTGCCACAGGATCTCAGGCAGACAAGACCCTTTCCTCGTCCAGCAGGAGTAAACACACTTCCTGAGGACCTTCCTGAAGATCTTCAAGAGTCAAGGAAGCAGACAAGACCTTTCATCCGCCCCGACGTCCCTTCCTTCCAGCGACCTCAGATCCAGCCCCGACACCCATCCTTTGACAAGCAGACGAAGCCTCTGGCCCGCCCTCTCAGAGTGGCAACTCTGCCAGCAGAACTGACACAGGATCTAAGGCAGACAAGACCCTTTCCTCGTCCAGCAGGAGTAAACACACTTCCTGCTGAGCTCCCCGAGGATCTTCAAGGCTCAAGGAAGCAGACAAAACCTTTCATCCGCCCCGACGTCCCTTCCTTCCAGCGTCCTCAGATCCAGCCCCGACACCCATCCTTCGACAAGCAGACGAAGCCACTGCCTCGTCCGGTGGGAGTTCAGACTCTGCCAGCAGGACTGCCACAGGATCTCAGGCAGACAAGACCCTTTCCTCGTCCAGCAGGAGTAAACACACTTCCTGCTGAGAAGATCTTCAAGAGTCTTTCACGTCCCGACGTCCCTTCCTTCCAGCGACCTCAGATCCAGCCCCGACATCCATCTTTCATCAAGGAAACGAAACCTCTGGCCCGCCCTCTCAGAGTGGCAACTCTGCCAGCAGAACTGCCACAGGATCTCAGGCAGACAAGACCCTTTCCTCGGCCAGCAGGAGTAAACACACTTCCTGCTGAGCTCCCTGAGGATCTTCAAGGCTCAAGGAAGCAGACAAGACCTTTCATCCGCCCCGACGTCCCTTCCTTCCAGCGACCTCAGATCCAGCCCCGACACCCATCTTTCATCAAGGAAACGAAGCCTCTGAGTTCAGACTCTGCCAGCAGAACTGCCACAGGATCTCAGGCAGACGAGGCCCTTTGCTCGTCCAGCAGGAGTAAACACACTTCCTGAGGACCTTCCTGAAGATCTTCAAGGCTCAAGGAAACAGACAAGACCTTTCGTCCGCCCCGACGTCCCTTCCTTCCAGCGTCCTCAGATCCAGCCCCGACACCCATCCTTCGACAAGCAGACGAAGCCTCTGCTTCGTCCGGTGGGAGTTCAGACTCTGCCAGAAGAACTGCCACAGGATCTTCAGCAGACGAGGCCCTTTGCTCGTCCTCCAGTCCCATCCTTCCAGCGTCCTAATCCTTGGCCTCTCCATGTGCCTCAGGGCGAAGGTGAGTTTGGAGCAAAACAATTCTATATAAACTAGATATTAAACGCAGAATATTTCATTGTCACTTTAAAGAAAACAGTCAAGATCAGCCAATTAAACGAGTATTCAAATCAAGGAATGAATAGCACAAACATGATATAATAGACAGATTATTCACAGTCGAGTATATTTTAGTAAACATGAACGGGGATTTCGGTTAAACAAATGATATACTAGACCCCACGGTCATATATATCTATGGTAATGTACAGTGACAAAAACGGTTAGGAGTGAGTTGATGAAGTTTGTAAGTTAGAGGTTGAACAGTACTAGATGGTAGTCTGGTAGTGAAAAGGGGTTAAGAATGGGAGCTGATGAGGTATAGTATAAAGTAAAGGTTGTTAGAAGAGTAAGGAGTTAAGGAGCAGGGGAATTAGATCAAATGGAGGAGATTTATGCGGCTGAGGAAGGAGAGTAAATTGTCAAAAGGTAGGGGTAGGAAAAGCCAGGGGGTTCCGAGAGGATGTCTATCAGGCTGGGAGATAGAGGAAGCGAGAACAAGTGAGGAAAATAAATGTGCTAGAAATCTAAGGTCATAGAGCACTATGATTGAGTATTGCGACGGAAAAGGTAGAAATAAGTTATCGATTAGGGTAAAGTGTATAAGATTTTAGAGGGGTTAAAACAACACACGAGCATAAAAGAAAGAACAAATGAATAACAAACGCATAACATCCACAGCTGAGATCTGCCAGAGCTGCGACCGCCTGCCCTTCGTTCGCCGCGGAGCCTGCTGCAAGCGCTGGAACCTCTGCTGTTGAGGAACTTCTTGGCTGCTAATTCACAGATGACATCCTGTGACTTTTATTATTGTTAATATTGATGATCATTTGTTTTTTGCATCTCTTGGTTTGGTGTATAATGGAAGTGCTAAGATTTTAAATCTTACTGCACTACCCAAAAATTAATCAACATAAACGGAACGAAATGCATGAATATCTTTAGAATACACACACGCACATATGTACGTACGCATGAAATGATAAACATTTAGAGATATATTCCACTTTATTTCAGTATTATATAACAAATAAAAATAATAATCAGTCTTACTTGTATATATAACCTAATAATCTAACTAATTGAGAAGTTCTGTATCAAAGAGAGCTCTTGTATATATAAAAAGTATGGTTGTTTTTATTGTAACCAATTTATAAAATATAGCAGACTAAAAGGCAATTTAGAGGAAAAACTATGGCAAATCTTCACGTTCTCTGTAAAATACATCAATACAAGCTATGAAAATATATGATAATCTTAACTTGTTGTTTTTCAAATGACCAAAATGACAGATGAAATACAAGGTAAAATGTCTAAATCTAGCGTATCAAATTAAGTATAGTTCTGCATTGCCAAAATTAACTGTCCTTAATCGTCAAGTTTACTTACACAACTGAGAAATATGAATCTATAGCACGGAACTTTAAGTATACCTTAAGAAAATAAAAGAGATAAGCAAAGCTTAAGAAAAGAAAAATCAAAGAAAAAATGAGAGAAAAAAATTGAAACATATCTTAAGAAAAGAAAAGAAATAATAAAAAAAAAACTAAGCAAATACCTTAAGAAATTAAAAATCAAAAAAATTGAGAAAACTTGAAACATACATTCAGAAAAGAAAAAGAATAAATCAAGATTAGCATGCCTTAAAAAAAATCAAAGAAAATATGTGAAAAAACTTGAAACATACCTTAAGAAAAAAAAAAAAAAAGAAAAAAAACTAACGCCACTAACTGGTAATACTTCCCTGGAATTTCTAAATTCTAAAATGGACTTTACCTAAGTATAAGTTTAGCCTAATTATATTTCTCTGCCCATATGGTAAATTCCGACGATTTGGTATTGGGAGTAAGGGAAACCTAATATAAATACAAAAATATACATTTATGATAACAAGGAAATATCGATACATTTAACCATAAAAAATATATAAGCTGTGAAATTATCAAATTATCAAACTATTCTGAGTAATCATGCTCCTTCAATTCACATAGAGCACAAAAATAGTTCACCGAACCTTCTGGAAACTGCAAAGACGGGAAGAGTCCTCAAGGCCCTTCCTCTTCTTCTAACAGTAAACAAACCACACAATTCTTTACGTACGAAGGAATAGCAAATAAATCTCCATTGCACCATTAAGCAGGGCCGGCACATTGGAGGTTAAATATTAAATAAATCGATAACGGCCATAACGAAATATAGGGTTAACTTAATTCAAACACGAATGCCGGAGCAACTGTCATGGCGACTTCAGCTTCCCTCAAACTTTTCGGATTTTCGGAGTCAAGGCGCAGTCTGCTCTGCATCGAAGTCAGAAGGAGAGAGAATGACGAACTTGATTTTCATGGCACGGGATTTGTGATCATTTCCGATATTTCTACGGTAATAGGATGACCGCCAGCAATTTAACTGCTCTCCATCGAACCCAGTGGAAGACATGGTCAAGCGCCGAGCGGCTGCCTAGCCAGGCTCTCAGAACAATTCGAGCACCAATGAAAATATCGGCTTTCCTTCTTCTCCACATAATCAAATCCTTGGAATATTTTCTTAAACACAATATATTACTCTTTTTCTTCTACAGTGGAATGAAGGCGGAATTTGCTCAAGAAAATATACGAATGCGGTTTCCCTGGCGAACTTGTGTAAACCCCGTTAAAAGATTACCATGCAACTCGAAATTCTTTAGTTGAAAATGACGCAAAGCGATTATCAGTTTCAGCGACTTTCATGGCAGAATTTACAATTTCCTATATAGATTCAATTTATATTTGATGTACTGCTAAATAGGCGCAGAAACATTTTTTTTTTTTTTTTTTGTATATTTCCATATGCACCACTTCATATCAACCTTGAGGCGAACAAAACGAAAAGATATTTCAACAGGTTCCAGGACTATGCGCATGAAGGACACAGTCTGAAAATGTATCAACGTGCTTGGGGTTTCAGAAATACTACAAAAAAGGCCTATGATAAAACGTAATATAATAAACACACCATAACGGCCGCAAAGCATCACAGCCGTAATAGTGGTCTACATT